TATATACATATATACACTTCAAGTAAATATACTAAAATATTTGTAAAAAGTGTTCATTTCCCTCAACCATATTTCAAAATAGAGCTGTGTTAGGCTCTGCTGCTGATAAGTGTGCACCAGAAAGAACATAATCTTATTTAGCCAGAAGTAGAGGGATTTGATAACAGACAAGAAAGATGACTGAAGATGAGAGGAAAACCGGGAATCCAATGGTAGGGAAATCTTACCACTGGATTCAGACATTGCGAAAAAATTCCCACCAACCCTACTGAGAACTACAGGGTTAAAAAGGAGTACAACCTTTGTTCCAAAATTGGAAGCGATGTTCCAATTTTGTTATTAAATACTATGCAATTTATTAAATGGATCAATTCTGGGAATCTTACCACATCATCTCGATCTTCCCACTCCACTTCTGATAAATCCACACTGCTGTATTTCGGTTTCCTTCTTCGGTTTTTCCCTTCTTCGTACTGTTAGAAATAAATATATAAACAAAACAACTGATTTTAAACAGGAACATGATAACCAATTTAACCACCTTATACATTGACATTTAAGTCTATTTGCAGACTGTTGATTTACAAAGACAAGATGTTTTTAACCTAAAGCCTTGTTTGGAACAAGAAGTCATAGCCATGTCTCTTACTTAAAGGCTAGCAGTAAAGTGTTGTACAATGTTAGTCATGGGTAGTAGACGGAAATTAAAAATGCAGGACATACCTTTTGTGTGGCGAACTGATTATATTTTGAGGTGCAAGCTTTTGGAAACAGTTAGGTTTTTTCTTCAGGCATGATTTCCATGCTCCAACCATTTTCCTACGTTATTAACGTTATTACTTGTGAAACTAATGCTAGAATGAGCTATTTATAGATGCATGTTGTCTGCTTTATATATGAAGAGCTACTTGTCAACTGAACATGGCATCAAACAAAAGAACGAAGAGATGGATAAATGTTTTAAAAAGACGTCCTACTCCTCTAAACTTTCCTACTTCCTATGCGCCTCTCCTGAATGTAGCCACAAATGTCCAGAAGTGGCCAGAAGAGGGATAGAAAATAAGGCAATGTGTATATTTTCAGGCTTGGTGTGCTCCGTTTAAACTCTGATGCCCTAGGTACTGGACCTTCAGTGGAAAACCTTGCCTGAAGAAGGAAACTAAGCATAAATAAGCTGTATATATTTTGTAGACTTGGTACTGTCCTCGTCAATCCCTGCTGCCCTAGACCCAGTGGCTTATTGGCCTAGATCAGTAGACACACTATCTGAATGGAATTTGTATGTTCCACTATATGTGGGTTTAATGACCATGCTTTAGTTTCCTCCTACTGCCCAGAAACAGAACTTTAGTCACGCTAATCAGAACTGACTATTAAAAAGTGTTTGCATGATAGTGGTAGCGATATTGTATTATAAGCTATTTTTGGACAGGAAATAATGCAAATCATTTTATGCACTCAGTAAAAGCACTCAATAAATTTCTGTGAAATTTCAATCAATAAGTGAAAAAAATAATATACAAGGGGCATCTGATCTAATTCCTCCATTATATTATCCAAAGTTCGACTGCATTTCTTCAGTGTTGGCATCAACAGTGATAGGGATCGGATCCAAATTACTAACATGTAATGAGTTATAATACTTTTGATATGTAAATACGTGTAATTATTTAAGGTGTGTGCTAGTAGCAAACTACTACATTTGGCAAATGAAAGGTATTTTGATCGCAATGTTGAGTGATACTGTATAGTACAGCAAGTAAATTACATGGTGCACTAAATGTTTTCCTTATTAGTACTTTACATTATGCTTGTACTTGCCAAGTAGTTTAATTGTTTTTACTATCTTGCATCCTAATAACATGTGTTCCTTTCCACCTATAGTTAACATAAAAGCCTTGATAAACCTGATAGGGGGCCCGAAAGATACAGTATGTCTGTGTTTTCGCTATGGAAATGGAACTATACTGGTGATGTCACGGGGGCTCACTAATCTCACTTTTATCTGACTCTATACTGGCTATAGGTAAGTAGCACACAATCAGTAAATACTTAGGATATAAAGAGTATGTGTATATATATATATATATCTATATATCTATATATATCTATATAGATATATATAGATATATAGATATATATATATATATACACATACTCTTTAAATCCTAATTATTTACTGATTGTGTGCTACTTACCTATAGCCAGTATAGAGTCAGATAAAAGTGAGATTAGTGAGCCCCCGTGACATCACCAGTATAGTTCCATTTCCATAGCGAAAACACAGACATACTGTATCTTTCGGGCCCCCTATCAGGTTTATCAAGGCTTTTATGTTAACTATAGGTGGAAAGGAACACATGTTATTAGGATGCAAGATAGTAAAAACAATTAAACTACTTGGCAAGTACAAGCATAATGTAAAGTACTAATAAGGAAAACATTTAGTGCACCATGTAATTTACTTGCTGTACTATACAGTATCACTCAACATTGCGATCAAAATACCTTTCATTTGCCAAATGTAGTAGTTTGCTACTAGCACACACCTTAAATAATTACACGTATTTACATATCAAAAGTATTATAACTCATTACATGTTAGTAATTTGGATCCGATCCCTATCACTGTTGATGCCAACACTGAAGAAATGCAGTCGAACTTTGGATAATATAATGGAGGAATTAGATCAGATGCCCCTTGTATATTATTTTTTTCACTTATTGATTGAAATTTCACAGAAATTTATTGAGTGCTTTTACTGAGTGCATAAAATGATTTGCATTATTTCCTGTCCAAAAATAGCTTATAATACAATATCGCTACCACTATCATGCAAACACTTTTTAATAGTCAGTTCTGATTAGCGTGACTAAAGTTCTGTTTCTGGGCAGTAGGAGGAAACTAAAGCATGGTCATTAAACCCACATATAGTGGAACATACAAATTCCATTCAGATAGTGTGTCTACTGATCTAGGCCAATAAGCCACTGGGTCTAGGGCAGCAGGGATTGACGAGGACAGTACCAAGTCTACAAAATATATACAGCTTATTTATGCTTAGTTTCCTTCTTCAGGCAAGGTTTTCCACTGAAGGTCCAGTACCTAGGGCATCAGAGTTTAAACGGAGCACACCAAGCCTGAAAATATACACATTGCCTTATTTTCTATCCCTCTTCTGGCCACTTCTGGACATTTGTGGCTACATTCAGGAGAGGCGCATAGGAAGTAGGAAAGTTTAGAGGAGTAGGACGTCTTTTTAAAACATTTATCCATCTCTTCGTTCTTTTGTTTGATGCCATGTTCAGTTGACAAGTAGCTCTTCATATATAAAGCAGACAACATGCATCTATAAATAGCTCATTCTAGCATTAGTTTCACAAGTAATAACGTTAATAACGTAGGAAAATGGTTGGAGCATGGAAATCATGCCTGAAGAAAAAACCTAACTGTTTCCAAAAGCTTGCACCTCAAAATATAATCAGTTCGCCACACAAAAGGTATGTCCTGCATTTTTAATTTCCGTCTACTACCCATGACTAACATTGTACAACACTTTACTGCTAGCCTTTAAGTAAGAGACATGGCTATGACTTCTTGTTCCAAACAAGGCTTTAGGTTAAAAACATCTTGTCTTTGTAAATCAACAGTCTGCAAATAGACTTAAATGTCAATGTATAAGGTGGTTAAATTGGTTATCATGTTCCTGTTTAAAATCAGTTGTTTTGTTTATATATTTATTTCTAACAGTACGAAGAAGGGAAAAACCGAAGAAGGAAACCGAAATACAGCAGTGTGGATTTATCAGAAGTGGAGTGGGAAGATCGAGATGATGTGGTAAGATTCCCAGAATTGATCCATTTAATAAATTGCATAGTATTTAATAACAAAATTGGAACATCGCTTCCAATTTTGGAACAAAGGTTGTACTCCTTTTTAACCCTGTAGTTCTCAGTAGGGTTGGTGGGAATTTTTTCGCAATGTCTGAATCCAGTGGTAAGATTTCCCTACCATTGGATTCCCGGTTTTCCTCTCATCTTCAGTCATCTTTCTTGTCTGTTATCAAATCCCTCTACTTCTGGCTAAATAAGATTATGTTCTTTCTGGTGCACACTTATCAGCAGCAGAGCCTAACACAGCTCTATTTTGAAATATGGTTGAGGGAAATGAACACTTTTTACAAATATTTTAGTATA